CTTTCCCTAAGGAATGGTACCCTAATAAAAGCCCCACATGAGGTAGAGGATGAAGAGAACACCCTTTGATCATGCTCAATTTCTTGACTTCTGTAATTCAGATGCTGGCAAGAGAGCTCCCTCTGCTTTGAAGGCTTATTGTGGTGTCCATGATCTGGCCTTGTCTACTTAGCTTGGCACATTACAATTTCAATAAATCTCTTTCTTTCTTTATACTCTGTCTTTTGCTTTATATATATAGATGATAATGTGGCAATATTGTAATAATGTATGATGTTATATATGGTTCATTTATCTGTACTTTTATATGAAGCACCCACCCACCCCCATTTTATTTTATTTTGGTAAATACTATGAGGTGTCCCCACACCCAAAAAGTGGGATAAATCCCCAAATAGGATTAGGCTTGCCCTATTCACAAAGTACTCCCAACTAGTTTTGAACCCTAGCTAGTTAGGCACCAAGCAGTCTGCTAGCTGAAGGTGGCATTTGCCAACTACACCCACCTCCACTTTTATGGCTAAATAAACTACTCTTTTCCCCAAATTTAAATTTTTATTTCGTTTTTCTTATATTTCATTATCTAATGCGCATATTTTGTTTTCTAATATACACATGGTGTTTCCTTTTTATCCAATTTTGAAAATTACTGAGGCTGTCCGCAAAAGAGTAAAATTTTCGAAACTACACAAGCCAATCAAAAAAAAAATTAAAAGGTGCGCCGTTGCCGGGGATCGAACCCGGGTCGTCCGCGTGACAGGCGGAAATACTTACCACTATACTACAACGACTTTTGTTCTCAAGTCATCATATGTAGAGACTTTCTCCGACAACAACCTGGTACTAGTTATGATGTTTTGGACTGATTGATCATCTTAACAAGAATGGCCGCTTTTTCCTTTTTCTTTTTTCTTTTTTTTTTTTTTTTTTTTTTTTGGAAGTATGATGTACAAGTTATATATAAATTTTCTTTAACATAAGTAATGATATAATTCATTAAATATCATCACCTCCTAAAGTATATATATTATTCTAAGCTATTTGGCAATATCACTAGGAAGCAAAACTGTGTTGTTGATCAAATCACTTTGTCGATCCATTAATTTTCAGTGTCCAAATATTTGAACTTAAACTTAGTTGTTAGTTTTGTCTGTCGTGTCGTATGTCATTCGTTTACCCATATAATAAATATTACCAAACAATCATACAAACATCTGATAATACGATAAACTATTTGAAACACATAGAAAATGCTCAAAAATATTTACAAAAATTCACACATAGGAAGAATGAGTTGTAGACTAAAAGATGTTAAAATAAAAATTAAAAAATTAAAAAAATCAAAGTAACATTTTTTCGGCGAATGAACACCGACTCACCCCTATCGGGCTTGATCCAAGTATCTAAATCTTGGGTGTAATTTTGCAGGGTCTAATTGTGGGCCTTATGGAAGATGATGCACGCCTTGAGTACATATCGGCCTAGAACTAGAAAAGATAGTAGAGCTAGTCCAAGGATACTTGGGCCCAGCTTAAGCAGCATAGTGGGCCTTTAATTTCTCAAATTACTTCCTTTGGATGGGCTTATGGCTCCAATAGGCCAGCCATGGCTGCTGCTTTCGTTTTCTTTTTTCCTTTTTTTTCCTTTTTTTTTTCTTCTTGAAATACAGCGATTACAAATTACAATAGGCAATCTGGGGGTTCAATTCTGGATACCAAGCAGAGGAGAGGAGGAGGGTCACAATCACTATGGTAACCCCGCATTGGCAGCCATGGCTGTTTTTACATAAACGTATATACGAATTTTTTTTCCTTGGATTTTAATATATATTTTTTTTAATACAAGCGATAGTCTATACTATAGAGAAGTGAGATTTATCATACACACACAACTATGATGTCGTGGAGATTCAAACCTGAAACTTATGATCTGTGCCTTTTTACACTAGGTTAGATCCCGTTGGCTAAAAAGTTAAACTTTAATAAAATGATTTGGAAATAATAATAAAAAAGTAACTTATTGTACGAATTTAAATTATTGATTTTGCATTTGCCACAGGCATCATCTCTTCTGATAATTGGCTTCCCCAGCTGTTTCATGCACGCATGCTACTTTAGATTTTTTTGTTGTAGACCTGCCGGTTTGTAGTGATGCTTGCTAGTTGAAACTTAGAAAAGCTCTTCAACTTCATATGCGTCATCCGTCATGTATGTATGGACCATCAATATTCTAGACATGGTCTTAATCAGAGAAGATTATATCTGAATTTGTTTCATTTTCAATTCCAATATATATTCTGTGACCAAAAAAATAATAATAATTAACACGCAAATAGACAAACAAATTGAAAATGAGGACCACAAATGAAATGTTTTGAAAATATTAAAAATATGTATATAATTAACATATGTATGTCCTTTTGCAAATATGAAAATTCAAACATTTTCGTGTTATGGTATGTGACGTTTCAAAATTGAGGACCACACTTTTCAATGACATTTTACCTAATCACGCTTTTGATTGTCTATAATATATATTATTATGAAAAAATCATGCAAACTGAAAATTATTAAAACATCTAATTTGAACCGACAAAATAGACGAACACACTGCTTCAAAAAAAGACTATAATAGCAACCATTTAATTGAGTGGTCAAATGGTTTCAGATCTAAGGTTTTTTTTTTTTTTTTTAGCAAAGATAGTCTTTGAGGGAATATCTAAAAACTAGATGGTTCGAATTACTGAAATTCAATGTGTAATGGGGCCTACTAGGGTGTCTCTCAAATAAACTTATTTGAGCAATCTTTCAATTGAAGCTCTATATTATATATATATATATATATATATAGTCCCCTTCTATTGAGGATCCAAACAATCTATTTGTAGATATTCATTCAAAGTTCATCTATACAAAAAATCAATTGAATCAAATATCATTTGACCACTCAATTATTGAAATTTAAGTACTTTCTTAAAATACCGTTTTAATTGATTTTGTAGGACACAATTAGATGTTAAAACGGTTTTGTCTATTTTTTAACAAGAATGAACATGAATGAAGACCTAAAAAATAGATAGTTTGGATTGTTAAAAATAAATTTGTATGGTATCCTAAGGAGTATCCCTCAAATAAGCTTATTTGAGAGATCCCTCAATAAAAGCTATATATATATATATATATATATATATAATGAAAAGAAGAAAAAAAAACTTCACTATCACCGATGTGTATTTTCCTTGTTAATGAAATATAAAGGGTGCGTTCAGACCAAAAAAAAAAAAATATAAAGGGTGCGTGTATGCGCACCAGTTTCATCTAAGTTTTTCTTATATACCTAACACATGTATCATGTTTGTGTTGAAATTTCGAAAAATAAAAGTGGAGGCATATTATTGTGACTGTTTAGGTAGGCTTACTTGAAATTTTTTTCATATTTGTCACTTCTACTTATTTAGTTTCAAAAGTCAATTTCAACCTAAATTTAAACTATGAAAGACATGGGACTAGTCCACGTACAAAATTGGCTTCGAAAAACAAGTCATTATTCGGTGTGGTTGTTACACAATCATTCTTTCTTCACCCTTGTTTTTTTTTTTTTTAGCCAAACATTTCTTCCTCCAATCATTTCTCCCATATATTCTCTCTTTATCTCTAACATTAAAACGATAACTACAAATAAAAATGAAGAGGTTACGAAGCGGGCTCTTAGCCTGCACTTAGTTCTTTATTTTTTTAACAGCTGACAGTGTCATTTTGTAACATTATCATGTTTTAAAAAGTGATGATTGTGCGGTGCCTCATTCCAAATACTTCTTAAATATTTCTTTGAACTCACATCAAATATACCCTTATAATCTTTGTTTGTAAGCGTGACATATCGCATCCCCTTACATTTCAATCGTCTAAATTGTATAAATAGGCAAATTAAGTCGAGACTTGAAGGCTCATCTAAAACTAAAGGCAACACAGCTTCCTTTTTTAGCCTCTATCAACCAAACCAGCATACCACAATGGGCTCAGAAACACCTCCCAAACTTCCCGTAATAGATTTTTCCAACCAAAGCCTAACTCCAGGCACCACAGAATGGAACGCAGTGAGAGCCCAAGTCCACAATGCACTCGAAGAGTATGGTTGCTTCGAGGCATTGTTTAACAAAGTCCCTTCACACATTCGAAAGTCCATATTTCCATCAATTGAAGAGCTTTTCGACCTCCCTTTGCAAACCAAATTGCAAAATGTTTCCAAGAAACCCTACCATGGATATGTTGGGCAGTACCCCATGGTGCCTCTCTACGAGAGCATGGGGGTTGATGGTGCCAACGTCTATGAACAAGTTCAAAGCTTGACAAACACCTTGTGGCCTCGAGGAAACCCAAGCTTTTGGTTCATAACATCAATTCTTTCTCCTATTTAACAATTTCATTATCGAATATGTTCTGATTTTATCTTATTAGACAGTCTGACATGTTATGTTACTAGAATGTTAATTTGAATTATTGATGAAGTATATTTTATTATGTGATTCAGATTATCAGTCTAACAATACATATAGCATATCAAATGTCTAGTAAAAGAACGTTACCATTAATTTCATAATAAAATATTTGGAGCTAAATTTTTTATTTTTTATTTTTTTTTTGTTGCAGCAAAGCTATACAATCCTTCTCGGAGCAAGTTTCAGAGTTGGATCAAATCATCAGGAGGATGATTCTGGAGAGCTTGGGGCTTGAGAAGTACTTGGAGGAACACCTAGAATCAACCAACTACCTTCTTCGAGTGATGAAATATAAGGGACCTCAAACCAACGAGACTAAGTTGGGGCTAAATGCTCACACAGACAAGAACATTGTCACCATTTTGTACCAAAACCAAGTTGATGGGTTAGAAGTACAAAACAAAGATGGCAAATGGATCAATGTCAAGCCTTCACCGGACTCTTTCATCGCAATGATCGGCGATTCCCTCTACGTAAGTTGCTTCACTTCCTCCCAATTCAATGTTCATGCACATTAATTCCTCTAGAAATTAGTAAGTTCGAAGAAAAATAATAATGTTCATATTGTGCTGGTTCTGTAGGCATGGACAAATGGGAGGCTGCATTCTCCATATCATAGGGTTATGATGAGTGGAAATGAGGCTAGGTACTCAACTGGATTGTTCTCTATCCCTAAAGAAGGCTACATAATAAAAGCCCCAGAGGAGGTTGTGGATGAAGAGCACCCTTTGCTCTTTAAGCCCTTTGATCATGTTCAATTTCTTGGGTTCTATTATTCAGAGGCTGGGCAGAGAGCTCACTCTGCTTTGAAGACTTATTGTGGTGTCCAAGACTTTGCCTTTTCTAATTAGCAAATTGCAATTTCAATCAGTCTCTTTCTTTGTGCAATATGTGTTCTCAAAAAAAAAAATGTGGGAGTATGTAATAATGTATATCTATTGTATTATTTTATCTATGGTTGATCTATCTGTACTGTTGGCTTTTAGCACAATTTTGTTTTTCCACAATCTATATATTTAAAAATAATAAAAAATTATTTTCTCAAAATAATAATAATAATAATAATAATAATAATAATAAAAAAGACGCCGTTGCCGGGGATCGAACCCGGGTCGTCCGCGTGACAGGCGGAAATACTTACCACTAGGGGTGGGCACGGTCCGGTTCGGCCCGGTTCTCCCTTAAACCCGAAACCGAAACCGGTACTGTTCATTTGGTTCGGTCCGGTCCGGCTTTTCATTAAAATGCCTTAGAAAACCGGACCAACCCGGACCGGTTTATATCCGGTTCGGATTCCGGTTTTCCAGTTTGGACCGGCTCTTGAGCCCAATTATTTTTTTGTTGTTGAATTTTTAGAAATTTAAGCCCAACTGATTTTTTAAAAACTTTTGGGCTTACAAATTCATAGCCCAATTCCCATCCAATCATCCAAAACAAAATCTAGCAAACATTAAATTTAAAATTACAACCCAATTACAAAACAAAAACACATATATCAAATAAAATTACAAATAAAATTACAGATAAAATTACAGAACATTCAAACTATTCCATCTTCTAGTGAAAACAAAAACCAAAAAATGCTCCATCTTCCCCTTGTTCTTTCCCCTTGGCAACACGAAGAGGCATCTTCTTCAAACCTTCTCTATTAAGATCCTCTCCCAGACCCTGCATGCAGAAAAAGAGAATTCTTGGTGAAAATTTAAAATTACAACATTCGATTTTATAACATCAGATTTGACCTTTGATGAATTCTTGGTGAAAAACCACCTCAGTCTCAAATTCAAGAGCAATAATGCAAAGAATAGAACAAGATGGCAAGAAGTCCATTAGGATCAACAGTGCATCATAAGTATGAGATCGTGATTATCAAAAACAATATTACACAAGGAAAATTAGGAGGAGAATTCACCTTGCTGTTCATAATATTTGTTTAGAAAATTTATGCAAGTCAAACATAAATTCTTTTGAAATTATATATTCAATAAACCTCTAAGAAATTAATTAATGACAAGAGAAGGATTAAAACCCACAACAACTTGAGAGAAACATTTTTAGGCCTACAACTGTTACTTACACAGAGACATACCCCAGAAAATAAAAAATAAATTTTAAAAAGATTTTACCCGATCTCTTCCTTGTTTACCACAGCAGTCTCCATGAATTGGTATATATCTGATCTGATCCAAGTGAAACCATGAGATAGATATTAACTGAAAGACAAACCGCAGAAAGAGGAAGAAGAGAGAGAGAGAGAGAGAGAGAGAGAAAGAGAGAAGAAAGAGAGAAATGGAAGAAGAAAGAGACAAAATAAAAGAGAGAAGCGGCGGAGAGAAGTAAAGATGAGGGAGAGAGGAAGGAAAGAAAAGAAAAAGTGGCTTTAGGGTTAGGTGTTGGTTGATGGGCTTTGGTTGTTGGGCTTAGGTAAGGTTAGATGTTGGTAGTTGGGCTTGGGAAGTGAGAAAAATCATGGGATTAGTAGTTGGGCCACCAAAATATATTCATTTTTTTATTTTTATATTTAATTCCGGTCCGGTTCGGCCCGGTCCGGTTTTTATAGATGTCAAACCGGAACTGGAACCGGTCAGAACCGGTCCGGTTCGGTTTTTGGTCAACTCAACCCGGTTTTTGGTCAACTCGGTTTTTTCCGGTTTTTTTCGGTCCGATTCGGCTCGGTTTTCCGGTTTCCCGGTTTAAATGCCCACCCCTACTTACCACTATACTACAACGACTTTGTTGGCAAGGGTTTTACACGTGGGATTTTAGTATGCAGTAAGAAGCCTGCGACTTGTTTCGATATTCGTCCAAACTCCAGTTAATTATTGGGAAGATATCTTTTGGACTATTTAATCATAAGAATGGTCGCATCTTTTTCTTGAAATTATGATCTACAAGATACTTGTAGAGCAATTTTGCTATGTTCTTATTCAATAAAAAAACATCAAGCATAATACAAAGAAAACACCTACCAATACCATGAAAATTTATATTAAAAGCGTATTTCACAAAGATAACATGTCACTATTGTGTGCTATGAATGAACATTGAGCCGGCCAATAAGGCTCGATCTAAGTGTAATTTTTCATATACGTTATATATATATATATATAATACAAACAATATTGGGGGAGGGGAGAATCGAACCTAGGACCTCAGACGCAAGAAAAAATATTTTCTAACTACGTAAACTACAAGTCCCTTGCTTCATGTATGTTATCTCGTCGTACATGATTTTGTCAAATTTAATTGTAAGCCCTATGGACCACGATGCATGCCTTGAGTACATCTCGGGGCTAGACCTATATTCATGTCTAGTTTATGTTTGTGTTTCTGGGCTTCGGGCTCATCAAACAAAAATACTGACGATTCTACAGGCCTCACGACTACAGAGGATAGCTCTTTCAAGGATACTTGGGTACATCTAAAACCCCTCAAAAATAAAAACAGAATTGGACTGGAGTGGGCCTAGAGTAATACCAGAGACTCCAATCCAAAATTTAGTGTGATAGGTGACGGCCAGACTATAATGAGGGGTAAGTTATAAGGGGTAAGTTATAAGGGGTTCACTTTATAGTCATTGGATCAATCCAAGGGCTGGGGAGAATTGGGATAAAGTTGTGCAATCGGGTAGGTGAGGAACCCAAACCCGAATTTAATATCCAGCAATGAAGTTGGTCCCAACAAAAACAAAAAAGAGAGGCAAGTTCGAAGTTTGAACAGAAAAAACCCATTGATCTCAAACTCATAGCTGAGAGAAACCGCTAAGCTCTGAGAAACGGTTGAAGGCAACGGGCAACGACGGTTGAAGGCAACGGGCAACGACGGTTGAAGGCAACGGGCAACGACGGTTGAAGGCAACGGGCAACGACGGTTGAA